ACCAGTGGCCGAGCGGTAAAGTCGCTGAACACTGGTAGTTCGGTCCGAGGTTCAAATCCCGCGAACGGGCTGGCTGCATGGGCGCTTTCATGGTTTTCTCCATGTGTAATGTGTATACGAGCCAGTTTTCCTTAGAAAGTCCTCCACGAAGGCATCCCTTCCCTTAGGCAGATAGCCCTAGCGTGCTTTGCTGTAATCTCAATAAACCAAACCATAAAACAAACTCATGACATGAACACCTAATTTCTAGAGTTGGTATAATTAATGTGTTTTAGGTATATTACCGAGTGTTCTATGGGACAGTAAACAACTCGCACATGTTTGGGCTCATGCATTCATATGCTTTATTTGATCTTCATTTTGCTGAATAGTATCTGCTGGCTGTGAGGAGGTAAATATCAGCCATATAGACTTTTGTCATAGAAGGTCCTTTTTTTTTTTTTTTTTTTTTTGTCTGTTTGCTTGAATGGACAGAACAGTAATTATGAGCCATAAAGTTAGTCAGAAAATGTTTTCACCAGGTCACAAATTTTCCAGTAAGCCATCAAATTTTCATTGAAATGCAGACAACAGAAAATACACATAAGCGATGTGTGATAAATAGACTTATCCAGCACATATTTTTAAATTATTCTTAGTGTATACAGAATTTGGCTATTACTGATGTAATTGATTGCTATAACCAGAAGTGTGTTTATCTGTTACATGAAGTGCCAGAATGGAGATCAAAGCGATTAACTTGATAGCAATCACCTTTCTATTATCTTCCATTACTAACAATAAAGTTTAAAACGAAAAGCATGTGAGCGGTACAAAACAACATGAAGAAGCGAATGTCATTTGAAAAAAAAATGTCACTTTCGCCAATCTGAGCGATAACTGATTCTTGTTTGGCTTTCAGCCTGTTTACCAAGTGAAGATGGTAACCCTATTTCACCAAAGGCCGTTTCTCAGAACTGTTGCTGCAAACGTTTTGTTCCGGCAACAAACAGCTAATGTGATAAGGCTTTTAGACGATAAAGAACGAAATGGTCGAGAGATATTTTTTTGAAAGACCAATACTTGGTTGGTACATATATTTCTGTGCAAAGCAGTATGGAATATTTCTGCATTGTACTGTAGTACTCTCTATACTATAAACATGCACATGCATATTTATATATATAAAACCTTCTTCAATTTTATATATAATTTCTCTTAGGAGAAAATACGATATTCTAAATATGCCTAATTAAAAAAAAATCTTGAGGATAACTAACAAATAACCTGTATATAATATTTTTCTATTTTGCAGGTGTGAAAGCAGTTAAGCTAAAAACAGTACTTACCATACATTATATAAATATTTTTTAAATTTTCAATCAAAAGGAACATGTTTCTATGACCGTGAAACGTGTGCTTAGCACCTTCTATTCACTGTCCCCGTCGATCACTATAGTGCGTTTGCTGCACTACCAGTATCACTATCACGTACTAGTATCCCACAACTGGTCACAATGACCACAACCACAACTAGTACAATACTAGGAAACGTTCACCCAACAATGTATTTATGCTGCAATCATTAAATACATTTTGCTGTGTTGACAACTGTTTTGTATACGCCTATTTCTAACATTTTGCATGTATAAGCCACCCCCTGATTTAATTTCAACATATGCTGTCATTTTTTTACGACCAAATCTCAAAAGTAATTTCATTGACAAATTTTAGGTACACAAGTCTTCAACATAACATTCCTACTCTACCCCAAATTCAAAATTCCATTCAATAGATTACGTTAAACACTATTCATTAAATTATAGTCCATGTTACGAATTATGTGTGCTTTTTTCCCCTTAAATTCTTTCAAACAGAACGTCCAGAACTTAAACAAAACTGTCTAGACTCTTGACTGTTTTAAGCTTTCACTACATTTTTTCCTTCTTGAATTCCATCATTTTCTCAAAGATTAATCTTTCTCAAGCTACCTTACACCATTTTGAATTGACTATTCTTTCTTTAAGTGAAAATATTTTTTCTTTAAAGTAATATTTTTACTGTTAAAAAACAGCAGATTCTTGATATTGATTTGATTTTAGTAAAATTAATTCATGAAGTTTGTTTGGAAAGAAAATCAGCATTTGAAGCAAATAATACGATATTTTCCAGCTTTTTAATAAATTTATTCTTAAATACAAAAATATTAAACAGGAAAAAATTATAGACAGACAAAGAATAAAATAATTACAACAACCAAAAAAAATTTCAATCATGCATTTTGAATAATTTGGATCAATCATCTACAGGATCCTACACAGCGTGCATATCCCCTTACTTTTTCTTTTCCATATATAAATTGAAAAACTCATTGCATGTCATCTATCGAGATTCCTCATTTTATTGCGTTCACAACTCTTTACAACTCATTTCAACGATGTGTTCCATATATAATATATATATATATATATATATAATATATAAAAAAAAAAAAAAAAAAAACGCCTTCGAAGTGACAGCGAAATTGTCTAAAGAAAGCCGCTTCTTTTTAGCTTCGCTCTGATTGGTCGACGCTTATCCCAAACTCAGCGTAAAGTTAAAAACTTTGAACCCTATGCCACGAGCCCTAAACCAGATTCTGTGACGTAGCAGAGACTTGTTGCCTTGGCAATGGAGCTCGGCTTTAACCCCTTACGCCCTCGTCTGAATGGGGCCTAATGCGTAACTGACTGAAAGCCTCATTGTTAACAGAATCATAATCTTAAGAAATTCTGTTATATTTCTGATAGACAGCTTACTTTTAGGAAATATAGAAATACTACTGAACAGATAGAAAGACTCACACAGGAGATGAAAGATGGCTTCCACCTTAAAAAGAGTACTGTAGCAGTATTGGCCAACTTCTAGATGGCCTTTGATACAGTATAGAGAAATGGTTGCTCAGGAAATTAACCGATATCGGTATTAGTGGAAATATGTATCACTGAATTAAATCTTTTCTGGACCAGCACTTTATCAGATCTAATGATATTGTTCATTATACAGTCAAAAGTCGTTAATTCGGACACCCTTAATCTGGACCTCAAAGCTAAAAACTTTCTGCGCATGCGCCGCGATGACACATGCACATAGGCGTTTACACATACGCATAAGACCTTTACGACTGCGCATATGCGTGTGCGCAAGTGCAGAATACGTTTTCGTGTGCGCGTTTAATGTATAACGGACGGTAGCTAAAATTACCTAATTATCTATTTCAGTTAATGTTGGTGATTGTGTTGTTCCTTAATCTTTGAATCGGATCCGTCTTATTATTTTTTGCAGACTGTAGAAGCAATTTTATAAAAGTAAACTTGAACTTTCGATTATGTCAAATAGAATTTTCGATGCTGGAGCTCCCAAAGGATCTACAAAACGAAAGTATGTTTCGATGTCCATCAAACAAAAAGTGGAATTACTGCAAAAAATGGATAAAGACATGAAGAAGGTGACAGAGAGTTTAGTGAAAAAGAAAAAATTTCGATTGACAAGTTAGTCGGTATTCTCGGCACAGCAATTACGGGACTTAAACAGCGGAACTTTGTAACTGAACAAGAAATTATGTCTGTTTATAGAATTAAAGAGAAAGTATTATCACATAAAACGAAGCAACTTAAACAACTTACATTGAAAGAAGTGTTTAATAAAGTAAACAAATAAATATTAAGCCTTTTTTTTTTTTTTTTTTTGTAAATTTTGATACCCTTTAGATCATAATTGTTCTTTATTTCATAAATTACGGTTTCATATTTTTAATTTTAGAATTTCTGCATGCCATCTTACGAGATTTAAACTGATGATCTATAATCCGGAATCGCTGAAGTCCCGACGAGTCCGGATTAACGACTTTTGACTGTATTATGAATTTGTATCCTGGGGTGCAGACCCTTCTCCTCTGATGACCTCGTTTTGTGGTCTGCTGACCGGGACATCTTTATTATATACAGAATTTACTTAACATTGCCCTTGATGTCTTTTTGACTTGGTCAACAAAAAGAATGAAATGATTTTAAATACGAGTAAGACAACCATTCAGGTTTTTACCCTTAGCACCAAACCCAAAGAGCTAGAACTATTTTATGATGACCAACAGCTCCACAAGACTCAAGAGACTACTTAACTGGGTATTGTTTTGGATTCCATGCTAAGTTGGATCAAACAGGTCAACAGGATACAAGAAACATGAGAAATACACTGCTTAAAAGGCTTACTGGTGTAAAATAGGATACTACCTAAAAACCGCTGTTACACCTATAAATCTTATATTAGCCCTGATGTCAAATATGGTGGTGAATTTTTCATAACTGCTTCCGAATCAATACAGAACACGGTTTGTACTACTCAAAATAATGCCCTGAGAATAATCATCAGTGGAGCATTTTCCGGTGTATGGTATGGTACTTAAGACTTTTGCCAATGACAGGTGCAGTCTTGCACTCCTTGCCACAGTTGGCTTATGCGGATGCTGCTGTCAGATAAATCAGATAAGTTACAAAAACAACATATCCATTACAGTTATACAGGGACTGGGCCCAAATATCATCAAATTAGTCAACCAAAATTAGTTGCAAGCTTGGTAATATCTCGCCAAATTAGCAAAATGGACATTTACTCAATGTTACATACACTTGCCCCTATATTTTTATTTTTCCGGCAGAGTAACCTTTCCCTCAGCTTTTTATGTTACATTCTACAGATCAATACAACTATTTCCCATATTATTTCACTAAAATTATCCATGTAAAAAATTCATAATAATATACTATGTGATTTTCTTTGTGGCATACAACTACCAGTTACACTCATTCACTTTCATGCCTTCACTGCTAAACATTTTGCTCTGTGAACAGGTTAAAAAAATTTCTAATTACAATCCTGATACTTTTGTATTTAATATAGGCAGATAAACTAAAATATTATAATTTCAAAGCATAACAGACTTAAATTATTAACCCATATGTCAAATATTAAACAAAGCAGACCTTTATCACTTTAGGATTAAATGAGAATTTCTCAGCAGAACAAGATGTTTTATTGGGAGAAAAATTTTCTTTAGTTATATCTTTTGGCCATGGAGTTTGTAAGGAACTTGAAAGACGGATCTGAAACAAAAAATGAAATTTAAAGTTAGACACAAACAATGTCAAGACCTTCAAAATATTGCTAGATTCATTTACAACAAGATTTAAATTTTAAGACCAAATGGAAAACAAAGTATAACATAATAAAATATCTCATGCATACCATCACTCATTCAGTTAACACTATGAGCTCATCCAAAAGGCTTGAATTATTTGATTTCTAGTCTTTAAGTAACACTAAATTTACATTCACTAAATTGGGAGAAGTTTTTTTGGTAATGACAGCTCATCATACAATTAACAAACAGGTTACTTCATAAATGAAAATTGTTTTATTTTCTCATATCCATTACACAAATGTTAAATCGGTTAGTTTAAAATTATGCTTTATCACTATGTATGTTTCTAGCATTTTATTATTCGGATATGAATGGATAGAATCATTCACTTTTTGCAAAGCATAAAAAAATTCTCCATCACAGTCCATCCAATTTTAAGAATGAAATTCAAGAACTTCATATTCCTCCTTCTATGCCACCAGTTTCTCGAAAAAACTTTTAAACAAATGGATTCAAATTATCCTTCCTTTGCAAAATTACAACAATCACAAATGAGCATGTCTTATTGGGGATTCTAATGAGCCCATTAGCACTAAACCAGCTACTACAGCAAATCAGTTGATGATCTTTTTAAAAGAGAGACTGCATATTACAGCGGAATTTAGACTTAACTTATTCTTTTGAAGCTTTTATTTAATTGAAATACAGAATTATGCAAATGATCAATATATTGTGGCAATAAAGCTCTTTTCAAAGAGACACTATGAAGAAAAAAAAACAGTCCCATTAACTTAGAGAAAATTAAATTAAATATTAAAGTAAAATAAATCACTGACGAATATAAAAAAATTATTTTATTCTCCTGCATTTTAATGTTTAAAAAATGACAATGTATTTTATTGCAGCCATTAATATTCCACATTCCCATATTTTCTGTGCTCTTTTGAATACTATTTTGTTGTTAACATGTTGAGCGCGGTGCCAAATTTGCTGTCCTTTCCGTTCAGCCGGCAGCGAGCTAAGCCATATTTTTGTTTAGGATGTTTGAATACATTTCATTAAAACTAAATTTGACCCCATTTCATCGAAACTATATTTATTTTTTTAACTTTAATACTGTCAGCCCCGCAGACCGACGCCAGCCAAAGGAAATAGTTCTAGTGCCGGTACCCAGAGGCCGACGCTGGCCACACGGAAAGTTCACTGCCTATCCCCAGGGACCAGCACTGCGCTCAACATGTTAATGATTAAAAATGTTAATATACAATAATACAAGTACAAATTTATAATCCCTACAAAAAATTAATTAGTAGAATTTAACCCTAGGTGGCCTTCCAGCCACATAGGGTTAAATTCTACTAATATCTGTATGCCCATATGCCACTTCCTTCTTGCATGCAATCATATCTGCCACATATATAAAACAGCACTCTGCATAATTTTTAATGAATTAGAGAAAAAGATTAAGATGTACACTGCTAAAAAAAAAAAAAAAAAAAAAAAAGGGGGGGGGACAGTGCTATACCTCTTGTTCTACTGGGGCGATTCACGAAATTCAAACTGCGTTCTTCATGTCTCGAAAGCGCGACTTAGGATATATATTAGATTTATATATAGCACTATTCTAACATAGGTATTTTGACACAAAATCGGACTTTTTCTGAATAACATACCAATTGTTTACATTTTCGATTCTACGACTCAAATTATGCCAGAATACCAAGTTTGTAAAATCGTACGAGTAGTTTGAAATATTAGCTCTCAAAATTTTAGCTCCCAATGTTAATTGAATTGCAATATTCTCTTTTTTTATAACTCTTTTGTTTTTTCTCTCACGTTTCAAAATTTAGGTTCATTCCAATAAAATTTACCCTTGTTTGTGTTTATTTTTTTAATTTCTATTTTTAAATATTTTATAAATTTTTTGAAAAACATTTGAATTATAACCTATAAATTTTACCATCATCTAAAGAGGATATATTTTTTAAGCATATCTGCAAAAATTAGACTTTTTTATTCAAATTTCTAAGATATCACGAATTTACATATTTTCGCGTTTGAAATTTGGCATCTTTTTTTGAGCGATAATAACGCCAAATGTGGTCTATGATTTTTGTTACCCTGTTTTGCCACAGCTATTTTTAACCTTAAATTTCAAGTAAAATTTTACGGAGAATTATTATATGACATTTTTTTTAATAAGTAAATTTTGTAGTAAATTTTTACCTTCGACGTTTTATCGTCTGCTACTTTACTTCGTTTTAATCGAATTGTCTAAAACTGACAATTTTCGTTTGATGTTTCTTTGAATTTTATGACATTAACTGCAATTTATTTCTAAACAAACTGATGCTTTGAAGTTGGCTGAAAGATCGGCTGGTAGTATCATCCATATTTTTAAAGTACAGTATATTTTTATAGAAACTAAGTTTAGAATAATCATTTTGTAATATTATATAATATCCACCCTCTTACCTAATGAATTTAATGTCGAATATCTACCTTCTCCTGTAAGTCAGCGTTCACAAGTAATTATAAACACACCATCTGCAATCAGCGGTCCGATGTTTATTAAATGAATCAAGAAGTTTTTAAAAAAAAATATCCTCAAGGTATTTTTGTGCGTAGCGTATTTTCATATTCTAATTTACAATTCTAATTATTCTTAAAATTCTAATTAGAATGTAATTGTCAAACTGATTCCTAATCATCATAAAATAAGTATATCGGTATTACGGCTATATTAAATTCCTTCTGAATGCACCTGGCCTTTATTTTATTTAATCAATTGCACACATATTTCTTGTCAATTCATGCAGTTTTAGCTGTTACAATCAATTATTTTTTGATTTTTATATGGCAACACCCAAGAGCTTGCCTTTTTTCTTTTCACGTTCACTCCCCAAAACCCAGTTTCGCGTTCGTCCTCGACAACTCCTTTATATTTTCTGCCGTTTGTTTCCTGCTTATTTATGTATTGCAAAATGGGGTTGATTTTTTAATTTCAGATCCGTGGAGGAAAAAGGACTTTTACTGGCCTCTTTCACTCGGTTAGGGAAGATACCTGCCCGTCAAATAACCCTTTGACGAACCTACCTAATACCAGGGCCATTTATATGCTTCCTCCTCATGACAATGGAAGTCGATCTACTCCTAAAAAAACGCCGGTATAACCAAAATGTTTCGAAACATCCTTTTTTTATCCATCACCTTCCTTCTGTGAATCATTCTCCAGATACACTTCAAATAAATAAACACTATAAGTTACAAATATCAATTAAAATAAGAAAATTAAATTAAAATAAAACAAACAAGAGCATAAACTTTTATTATTCCTCTCACGAAACAAACTAGGTTGCCTCTATTACTTCGCCAATGAACGTTTCTTGGCGCGAATTGACAAAAGTGCCACTAAATTTGTGAATTTCTCCGTAAATTTGCTCCAAATTTACAATTTGTATTTAGGCGTAATTTGAGTCGTAGAATCGAAATATGTAAAAAACTGGTAGTTATTTCAGAAAAATCCGATTTTTGTCAAATACCTATGTTAGAATAGTGCTATATAAATCTAATATATCCTAATCGCGCTTTCGAGACCTGAAGAACGCAGTTTGAATTTTGTCAATCGGCCCAGTAGATTGGGAGATATAGGACTGTCCCATTTTTTTTTTGAGCAGTGTACATATAAAAATGGAATTCACACTTTAGATTCATCACATATGTAGTGAACTGAATGCAGGTAAAGAATTCCATATATAATAGAGCGTGAATAATTTAAATTTGATTACATAAATAATCAGTTATCTGAGCTTGATAGAATTTATTTGGACAGATCTCAATGTAGATTCTAAAAACTAAAATATAAGAGTTCAAAATTCTCTAAACTTTCCTAAATCACTCTTCTTGTAATAGTTGAGTTTAGTTCTAAGACTTTTAAGTTTTCTTGTAATCATTATTTCAGCATTTAGCTGTTCCAAAGAGAATAAAACAGTAAACGTGTTACCAGAGATTAGTAATTAAGAAAAATCTATAATTATGAGAAATCATAGCAAGTGTTTTCTTCTTTGTTTTCGCCTCTCGTTATTGCTGAAAATGGAATTTATTGTTTATATAAAATTTTTAAGATTTAATAATTTTTCGTCAGTTAAAAACTAATGGTTGCAAATAAATAGTTTAATTTCATATAGTCACATTTTTTTCCAAACTTGAAAACCAATTATTCTAAGAAAGAGGGATCTAACTCTACTACATTTAGTTTATCAATCCTTTAATGCCATGAAGGTTTAAATTAAATTTAGTTATAGAACATGTTTTATTTTATTACCTTTTCAACTTCTTTTTTCATAGAAGCTGTAAATTCTTTAACTCTTGCATCGAAACTGAATGGCTTCACAACAGTTGTTTTTTTCCGATTATGGTAAAATGTTATTCCACAATGAGCATCATACTGCTTGGATAAAGGCTGAAATGAAATAAAACTCCATAAATTGAACATTTTTTTTTTCTTTTTTAAAATTATTTCATTCATTCATCAAAATACTTCAGCATAGCAGGGATTCTAGATATATCTATCTAATAATAAAACATCAAACAAAGAAATGAATATTTCTATGCAAGAATCCAACTATAAAAAATAAATTCCAAGGCAGACAAACAAAATTTTCCAAAAAAAAAAATTTGATTGCAGTGAAATTTCATGCTTGAATACCTTTTGTTCCAACACAAAAATGATCAAATTTTGGTAGCCAATGAATAGGTGGAGCTGCAGAGAATTGTAAATGAGCACCTAGACATGTATTAGAGAAGAAATTCTAATTCTAGGGCTAACCTACATTTGAATTTGACTCCACCTACTCACTTTGACTATACTGTGCCTTGCAGATGGGTTCGCACACACTATCAGCATATGATACCAGCTGAGACAAAACATGTCTAAAAGAAGCAGAGACTGGAAAAAAGCCACCAGTCAATGATGTTGGCAGGAATGTTTCAGACACACTAATGACAGCACAATATCAAGAAAGCAGCAGTCAATCTAGGGAGCTGACAATATGAGGGTAAAGTAATTATCAAGAGTGGCTCTTGCAACACCCAATTAGTTATTATCAGCAATCATGTAACTGGCATACTAGAAGCTAGATCATTGATAGGTAACTCAGAGAACGAAATATGTGTTCATAGTCCAGTGCACAAACTTCCCCTTTGTTATGTTCACCCACAAACATGTTCACAATGGTGCCAGGTTCATATGACCTGGAATCTTGCTGACTGGAGTAAAAATTGTCTTCAGCAATGAGTCCCACTTCAGACTGAGCAGTGATAACCAGTTAAGACAAGTCTGAAAGCCCAGGATAGCAGATGGGATATTGACCCGACCGTTGCCCATCATACAACCGGATAACAAAGAGTTAGAATTGGAGGTATCATTTCATTGGACAGTCAAAGCCTTTAGTTGTCAACCATTATACTCTCATAGTGCATAATATGTTGATAACACTCTGTGCTCCTTTAGCTACCCTTTCTTTCAAAGCACACCAGACTTACATTTCAGTGGGATAATGCTCAACTGCATATGGTACTCATTTCTACTAATAATCTTTGTGCTTGTCAGACATTTTACTGGCAAATTAGATTGCCAGATCTCTCTCTAATATAGCACATTTGAGGACTGATGAAGACGTGCCTCCACCTGGCCAAAATAGCAGCAACTTAAGTTGATAATTGGAGAAGTTCGATAAGAAATTCCACAGGACATCATCCGTCAACTATCCAAGTCAATACTAAGCCAGATAACAACTTGAATAAAAGCGAACACTTCAGATGTCCCAACAGTAAAATAAGAAGTGGAGATAAAGTGAAACAGCAAGAACAAGACATGAAGGGCTACTGTGATTCTGATAAAATATATTAATATTTAATTACATATTCTACACTTTATGTTCCTTGGCTAATATATATATTAGCCAACTTAAATTTTGTAAATAAAATTTAAGTAATTTTCTTACACCTTTATACTGAGTAAATTCTGAGTGGGGAACGAAAGCTTTAACAAACTACTTTCAAATAAAATAAAATTAATAAGCATTTCTGAGGATAAACTCAGAATTGTTTTTGCAAGATACTTTGTCTTGCAAAAACAATATATTTGCAAGATACTTTGTCTTCTTACTGAACGCCTTTGTGTTGTAACTGGAAGCATATCTAACTGATAGTTAGGAGGTCTGGACATCAAATCCAGGCAAGGGCACTGAACACTTTTTACGTCTTCTGTTTCTAAAAAGATCCCACCCCAAAAAATCGCTCCACAGTGGTGTGAACTACAATATGGTTAATGGTAATTTGACACTATCAGGATTTGGCAGCAAAATCCAAAGGCTCCCATGCCTTCATGGTGTAGCTGGAAGCACATCTGGCTAGCAATCGAAAGGTCAGGAATTCAGACCCTGGCGAAGCCACTGCATATGTTTCTTGTTCCCTGTTCCAAAATGGACCTAATGGCTCTACATATTCATTAAAACAAAGTTAAATACAAATTTTTATTGATTAAACAATGGTTGAATCTTCATATAAAGTATTACAGATGTTTACAGCAATTTAAGACAATTTAGATCAAATAAAATTTAATAAGTTATGCTGAAAATTACTAGGGATGGAGGAATGAAATCTGCACAATTTACGCTTATTTAATTTGATAATGAAACTTAAACTTCACAAATTTTTTTTTGCACAATTTAATTTTATTGCTGAAAACAATTTTTTTAGTAAAACCTAAAAATTAAAAACCAAGAGATTAGACAATCAAGCAGGAGACTTTTTTTTAAAAATAAAATCAGAACAATTAATGATATGATACACTAAGACATTTTTCAAAAAGCAGTATAGTACAAGCCAACTATAAAATAAGAGCAATATAAGTCATTACCATTTTTGAAAGCAAGTCCTTTCGCTTGCAAGTACAGGGTAGATGTAAACTCTGAGTTTTCATTATATCTTTTTTTGAAGAATTTGATAGGCATTTATTAGTTTCCAGCATATTTTGAACATCTGTAGATTTTACCAATAATGTCTTATTCTGTGCTCTCAAACTAAAAAGAATATTATTACTAAATAAAATCCATGCAATTACTTTCACTATAAAATATAAGAAATATAAGACTAATAAAACACAAAGTACAAAAATATAATGGTTCATATAAAGTGTTTAAAAAATTTTGCATGACTAAACATCTGTCTAACTTAGTACTATTGTGTACTGTAAACCTTCAACTGTTTGTTTTCCACAACACTTGAAATCATTGTGATTCGACTACACAGAAGTTAGCTTCATTTTATTCCTTCATTTTCTGAGCCCTTAAGGTTTGCTCCTCCAAGTCACCTCTTGATCAAGAACGAAACTATTTAAAAGCAGTTGTTACCGAAAGAGGAATTTTACCTAGCATTATTAAGCATGCGGTTAAAAAATTCTCGACAGTACTCTAATTTTAGGAGATTACAAGAATTCTCTAGTCATTTCTTTCTTTCCATTAGTTAGCAATAAAACTGAACACATTTTACAGCTATTCAATTTTTAGGTCCTTTTCTTCTCCTATCAATAAAATTCACAGTTCCACACTGTGACCATATATATACTCTACTTTGGATATGAACTCCTAGCATATGTATAGCATCCCTTGCTAATGTGATTTAATTTACGCTAGTCAAACTAAAACAACCTTATAAATTCTCACTAAGAAACATAAGGCATATGTTGGAAAATAGAAACATAAATCCTCTGTTGCCCAACACCGTCACAAAATCACATTTCCCATTTTTCTGCAGCCAGAATCATTCAAAAAAATCTTCTGTTAGGGAATTAGATTTTCTACAAGCGTTTTGTTTTCATAAAAATCTTTCAGTTTTAGCTAACCTTCATTCCAATGTGTTTTTATCCTCAGTTTTTAAGAAAATTACTTTAAAAGTTATTTTATTTTAATTTTTCATTGATAGATGGCACCAGTAGCTTCCTTCCTCTCATTGTTATTGCCTTAGCAAATGTTTCTCTTTCTTTTTGCCATTTGCAATTGTGCAGCTGAAAAAGAAGGTTCCCTATTTAAATCTTCAAAACAAGTTCTGCAAATTTCTGAATATTATGCAGATTCTTGTTGCCTTCACACCTCCAGTAGTGGCAAAATACTTTTTGTTGTAAACCCATGATTCCATTCTAAGAAATGAAATAAACTAGACTATGATAATTTTAATCATGTAATATTTTTAGTAAAAGTATATGAAACATTTTATTAAAACCTTAAGGAGAAAAAATTTATTTTATAGCTTAGTTAAATATTTTAAGAAAGGGTGACATTTTAAAAATTTTCATACAATGAAATTTTCCTAGATATCAATAAAAGTTTGAATTGTATGTAAATAGTATTGAAGACATCTACACACACAAATTTCTCAAAGCAGGTTTCTAATTTACTATTTGTAAAAAATTAAAACTTAGTATTTTTAATTTTTATTTAATGTATCTCAAGCTTATATATTTGGACCTGATATTACTTTTAATAGTGCCATTTTATTGCACAAGAAGTTCATTATTTTTAACAATGTTTTTCAAGACAAATTCTGCATTTCAATTTTCGTTAAATTTAATATACAAGAGTTGTTCAGTTAGGTAATCTTTTTAAACATTCCATATAAAAAATATCAATTCACAACACCAAAACATAATATGAGATTTATTTTTAAATAAATGCACACAGTTGAGAAAAATACCTTTAATTTTAAGGGTCCAAACACAGTGTCTATGAAAATTTTTACCCAGCCTTTATTTTTGCAATAATTTGTCGAAGACATTTTTCCAGTTATGAAAATGTTTAAATTATGCCAAGATGTTCTTTAGGTATTTTTAAACTTAAATATATAATTTTTTTTTAAAATAACAAAAATCTAACTTTTCACATGTTCTTCCAGTCCCTATATTCAAATTTAGAAAACTTTTGCCCTCATAGTAAAAAATAAAGTACATAGAGTTTGATTCCTATATGAAACAAATTGAGATATTCAATTTCAAAATTTACAATATATGAGATCATTTTCAGTTTATACTGAAGGGTCGAATAAACAAATTAGAATAATTCAAGGTTGATTCCCCTCCCTTGAATACCATTCAATAATATTCCTTTGTGGTTTACTTACTAGTGTATTTGTTAATAATTACAGTTAAAGTCTTTAATCTGGACGTCCATAATCCGGATCTCAAAGCTACAAACTTTCTGCGCATCTGCGTTTAATGTATAATGGACGGTATAAGCTAAGCTAAAATTATCTATTTCAGTTAGTGTTGCAGATTGTGTTGTTCCTTAATCTTCTAATTGGATCTGGCTTATTATTTTTTGCAGACTGTTGGAGCAATTTTATAAAAAGTAAGCTTGAATTTTCGATTATATCAAAAAGAGTTTCTGATTCTTGAGCTGCCAAAGGATCTACAAAGAGAAAGCATGTTTCAATGTTCATCAAACAAAAAGTGGAATTGCTGCAAAAAATGGATAAAAGCATGAAGAAAGTGACAAAGAGGTTAGTGAAAATGAAAAAATTTCGATTGATAAGTAAGTCGGTATTCTCGGCACAGCAATTAGAGGACTTGAACAGCGGATCTTCGTTTCTGAACAAGAAATTATGTCTGTTTATAAAATTAAAGAGAAAGTATTAGCACATAAAATGAAACAACTTACATTGAAAGAAATGTTTAATAAAGTAAACAAGTAAATATTAAGCTTTTTTTTGTAAATTTTGATACCCTTTAGATCACAATTGCTCTTTATTTCATAAATTACGGTTTCATACTTTTAATTTTATAATTTCTGCATGCCATCTTACCAGATTTAAATTGATCATCTATAATCCAGTAAAACCCCTAATCCGGAATCGCCGAAGTCCAGACGAGTCCAGATTAAAGACTTATAACTACCAAGCCAAAAGAATTTTCACACAAGTAATTCATAAATTTTTAAAGTCCAAAGATATGTTATTAATAATGCCAAACTTTTATAATTTAAAAACAATCTGGTAATCATAAAAAATTAATAACAGTACAAACATTTTTCATTTGGCGATTTTTCTTCATTCAAATGTCTATGTGCTAATAATAAAGCCTGTGAGGATTTTCTAGAGCATGAATTCTACATGATTCTGTGAATAAGATCTCGATTTTAGGTGTGTGTGTGTTGGAAAGGGGGACTGATTAATATTTATTACAATAAAATGCATAAAAATATTCATCACGTAATCTCTTAACATGAGAAGCCTTTTATTAACTAAACTATGCTTTTAGTTATGTACAAGAAATGCAAGTATTTCACTTTTCAATTTGTGTAATGGACCTGAATCTGATTCTCAATTTTAATATCAAATATCTCAAATTTTTTTTCCATATGGGAATGGAATCTTGTTTGACTTTTTACCACAAGAACAAAATTTTCCTAAATAAAGTATAAGGACCTGAGGAACATGTGAAAAGTTATATTTTGTATTTTAAAGGGGGAAAAAATATTTTTTTAAACAGGGTTGCCACTCAAACAGGAGAATGAAATTCCCTGACTTTTCCAGGTTTTCCAGGCGCGTTTCAAGAAAATTCCAGTCTATCCGCGTAATGTACGTTGGCTACGCTAAGAGGTAAATTATGGTATTACTTGTATTGTGTAGCAAATTCACTTAATTATTCAATAAATCCCAGAGGACATTTATTCTTGGTATACTTTGTTTGATAATTTTGTTTAGTTTTCCACTTAGAAACTTATAAAATTTAAGATATATACATTGGATAACAAATGTTGTTTTATTTATTATTACTCATGATCATCACCAGTTTAACGAGGCTAATCCGGTCCTTATAAATCACAACGCAATGCTAAATAGTTAGGTTTAGATTTTAGGTAAATTTAATTTGTGTGAAGTAGTTCTTAAAAAGCACCTTAACACTTGAAAACACAAATATAATTATAATAGTTCTTGTTTCCTCCATTGAAGATTGAGATTAGAATCTTCCCAATCTGGAATAAAATAAGGCATTTTTTGCAGACATTCTGCAGCTAAACGAAACAAAGAAATCTATTTTAATAAATTGAGGTATTTTATATTTAGTTCGCAGCATACATAAGAAAAAAATATAAGGCTTTGGCACGATTTTGAAAATTGTCGCCAAGACCAAAATGACCCGTTTACTGCGCATCATCATGTCGCCAAATCCATACATGGAGATTATTTTAACCAAAAAACGTCTATGCAAAGAATCTCTAATTCTTTGGTCTATGTAAAGAAGAAAATTTTCCATACAAGTAAAATGCTATTACGCCGCGAGAATGCGGAGGGAAAATTTGCCAAGGGATTTGGCGACGAACCTGGCGGCCAGAATTTCCCTCTCCGCGATGTGTACGGAAATTGAGAACGTGTTAAGAAGAAACGTTCTTTGACAAAAAGAAAGCTACGAAAATCCGTTTTTTAATTATTGCGAAAAATCCAAGAAGAAACGTTTTATCAAAGGACGTTTCTTCTTGGATTTTTCGCAATAATTTTAAAAACGATTTTCCTAGTTTCCCCCCCCCTGAAAATTACTAACCTATGAATTAATTTACTTGCACCAAAAATATTTTCTTTTAATTTAGAGTTTAACTACTGCGCTAAGACTAAACGTCACGGTTGCGGTGCCATGCGCTACAATATAGCAAGTGGTAAAGTGTCTCATTACGCCGCTCCGCATCTGCGAGTGCAATCCAGAGCTGTAACTCGAGAAATAAACAATCGTTGTTAGGCGACATGTGCACCATGTTATTTTCATTTTTGCCATAAATGCTTATCGACGTGGTATTCACGTCGCTCGCAGTTTGACACAAAAAACATCTCGACGGCATGGCACGTCTTTTTAGCGCAAGTGTTAAAGAATTTTAAAAGGATAGTCATTTAATGAACTCTTGATAACGTGACCTTCGAACTTCGAACACGGTTTCCAGCTTGGGGCGATATATCACGCTGCACAGCGTTTCCCTATATGATGGAATGGAGCCACGTCTGTTGCAGAGAGGTTTTCCTTCTTTACAACATATCTTTGATCTAACCCTCCATGGTACCATATACTAAGATTAAACCCATTTTGTTTTACGAGAACAGGTACTTTCTTTAGGTCATGCACTCACATGCGATTCTCAAGAATACTGGAAACCAAAGTTGCGGGAAACTTGCTGCCTTTCTAAAAGGCAATCAAATTGGAGCTGCGAAAATTGGCTCTATGCCAGCAGACACTCACTGATAGGCAATTCGCCAAAAAAAGTTATCTCTTTCCGACGTCGGCGCAAAAAATCGCTTTTTTGGCGGGATCATTGTATGAAATTCCCTGACTTTTCCAGATTTGACAAAATACTTAAATTCCCTGACTTTTCCCTGAATTTTTTGGTCCATTTTCGAATTCCCTGACTTTTCCCGGGTCTCCCGGTTTTCCAGGTAGCGTGGCAACCCTGTTTAAATCTAAAAATACAAAAAAATGAGTCTTTCTATCACTAAAAGCATAAGCACTAAAATTATGCTTACCGCATGTTTTTTATCACTGCAGATATATTTTTAGAAGGAGCAACACCAACTAAACAGAAACATTTATGAATCATAAAAACATCTACAATCAATACATATATGTAAACAATTACACTATTGAAAAATGCACAGATTTTTCAGCATGTAGTACACATTTAAATGTATATTTTATTATATTATTATTGTGATCTAAATTCTAAATTACCTGCTTTGTTTCCTCCATTTTCAGTATCTTCCTTTAATGTCTTGATTCTTGAAGAAACTTCGGCTTTCTTAGGTATATTTCTCTGGATTGGAGCAACCCCCTTAAAATTTAAAAATCTAAATAAACTGCCATTATTTCTAGCGTTAAAAAAGAGTGAATTAGGATTATTTATCATGTAAATAAAAATAAATCAGAAAACTATATTATGAATTTATATATTTTCAAAAGAAAACTAAAATATCTCAATATTTTCCCCACCAAATAAAAATTATTTACTAAAGGAAAAACTGAGAAATAATCTTAAATTTACAATAGGAGAGAGGAGAGGTGGATTTGCAGAAACAATACGTGTACTCATGCTTTTTACTTTCGCTCACACATTTTATATTCAGTATATAATGTACTGGTATTGATAATATATGAAACTTTCATACATTGAATAAACTATATCAATGTTTTTGAATTTTTAATTCCAGTGTGTGCCATAAATTTTCAGTAACACCAATTTTATTACAGTAGGAAGTATGATTAATCTTGGCATTACACAGCAGTTATTCTCTATGCTTAAGTTTATTATTTGCAAGAAATAGTAAATACGAAGGCTGCTATTTATATTTCTGGCCTTGGCAACAGTAAGTGTTGCTAGGCAATTGCAGACGATTCCAATCAAAAGTTCGATATTTTTAACCATTACTTCAGAAAGTTTTGCAATTTTAGCATGATTTGTGTTGTTTGCAGTAAACTGAAAATTCACCTCGGGCAAAAAACGAAATTGATTCATGAACATTTTCATGCAACTATTTTTCATAACTTTCTAAGTGGTTAACGAAACAAGAATGTTTCAATCAACTTCCTTCTTTATACAGTGATAAAGCACCATCCTACAGCACTGTAAAAAAATGGTATAACAAATTCAATCGTGGTCAGCATTCCCTCCAGGAGAAATTCCGCGAAGGTCGTCCGAAATCAGACAGAAAATATTGATGGTGTGTGTGAACTGAAAAAGCAAGATAGTCATGTGACATACCATGAGATTGAGGCATCTCTGGTCATTAGTATGACAAGCCTCAATAAGATATTACATGAACATTTTTACATAAAAAAGTTTTGTTCACATTGGATCCTGCATAATCTGACAAATGCTCAAAACAAGGCTCATGTCAATTGGGACAAGAAAATGTTGGAAAAATCTGTTCAAGGTGCATCAAAGGCTGTGTATAACATCTACATTGGTGATGAATCATGGATCTATGCATATCAGCTCGAAATAAAACAGCAGTCGACTATGTACTCGACAATGGTCTCCCAAGATGAACCAAGTCCAACAAAAGTTGCTTGTGGAAGCACATTGAAGCAAATGATTGCCTTTTCTTTGGCATTACTGGTCATTACAGCAATGTAGGATGGTCAGTTCCGAATGGTACACAACCATTTGTTTGACAGAAGACATCAGAGAAATTCGAAAAAAGCAGAAGAGGCGAATCTTTCTTTATCATGATAATGTGAGCTCTCACATTTTGGCTCAAAAAGAATTTTTGATGGGCCAAAACACTGAATTGAAGGGTCATCTGCCATACAGCCCCGATGACTTTTTTTGGTCGATCTTTACAATATGGTAACTGGTAGTTTAGCGACATTTTGGAGGCGATAAAGGTTACTACCTGGGACTTTGGTAATAATGTGAGCAGTACTCAGTTCCGATACGCATTATTTTGTGTGAGGGAAATGAGAGATCATGGGATATCTCATGTGATATTAATGGACGAATTACGTTCTTTAATCGGAAAAGGGGGGAATCGGGAAAAAATCTGGAAATTTTGTATTTGGCTTTATTCTGTGTTGTGTGAAACAGTGTTCGTGAATTTTTGGATCCCATGGCCGTAACTAAAGTGAATTCGAAATGGGTATTTATGTATGTATTAATTTAATGTATGTGCTCATTTATATTTTAAGTAGTGTTTTTGAATTTAATTATATTTTAATTAAATGATAGTTATTTTGTGAATTTTATGTTTGTAGGAATTTGAAGTAAATGTGCATGGAAATAATTTAAATATCTGACAATAAGTATTTGTAATGGTTGCGGTATGAATTCGTTGGTGACGTGTATAATGTAATAGATGATTTAGAGGTAAAAGTTTTTGGATATTTTATTTATTTTATATGAGGAAATGTTCATTACTTTTTCGCGATCAGGTAATTTCATATATGTTCGTTTTACCGGGTTTAAAGATTGAGAAAATTGTCATGTATTTTCGTGAAATTTTTCTAATTTATGAGAAAAAAGCAGTGTACATGGATATACGTGAAGACTGTGCGCAATGCCATTTTTTGTGCAATTCTGGGATGTTTTTTTAAGTAAAAAATAAGTCGGCGTGTACATGCTTAGTGATATTTTAATTAAATGATAGTTATTTTGTGAATTTTCTGTTTGTAGGATTTGGTATACGTTTAAGTTGAAAGTAAACGTGCATGGAAATAAATAATTTAAATATTTGATACTAAGTATTTGTAATGCTTGCGGTATGAATTCGTTGGTGACGTGTATAATGTAATAGATGATTTAGAGGTAAAAGTTTTTGGATATTTTATTTATTTTATATGTGGAAATGGTTCATATTTGGAAGGGTAAATACTTTTTCGCGATCAGGTAATTTCATAATGTTCTTTTTACCGGGTTTAAAGATTGAGAAAATTGTCATATTTTCGTGAAAATTTTAATTTATGAGAAAAAGCAGTGTACATGGATATAGTGAAGAGTGTGCGCAATGCCATTTTTGTGCAAATCTGGGATTTTTTTTATGTAAAAATAAGTCAGCGTGTACATGGTTTATGTGTATGTGTTATTTTGAAAAACGCGTAAGGAGTATGGTATTGTACACTTTTTCCCAATTTTGCAGTGAATATTTGTCATGATTAAGCAGTTTTGTTAGATAAAATTTCTAGCATAAGTGTAATTCGGCTAGTAGATTGTTGGAAGAAGTGTTCAGTAGATAAAAAGAAAGAAACATGTCTTTACTTCGTGAAGACAAAATGGCGGCGGGAAAAAAAAAATAGAGGGTTGCTGTAGAGAGTTGGTCGCCAAATTTTCGCCAAAAAAATGCCAAGTTACCATAATGTAAAGATCAACCTTTTTTTTTATTTTTTTTTTTATAGCACATCAAAAATAAATTACGTGGTCAACAATTTGGGACACCCGAATAAGCTGTTGATGCATTAAAAACACGTGTTTTGGAGTTGCCTCAATGAGTGGGAAAAGTGCTTAGAAAACTGGTTCAATTTAGCATGCAAAAGTGCATTGATCTTCATGGAGAATACTTTGAAAAACAATAAAACCAATTTCGATCATAAAAATTAGTTTTTTCGTTATTAGGCCAGAAATATAAATAGCAACCCTCGTATTAACTCCCATCCACTGAACACTACATACTTAATTATGGCTATTTTCTAATATTTAATTGCAGGCAAAACACTCTTTGGTTTAAATTCAGCATTAGAACAATAACAAACCATTTTACGGAAACAAACGCGTATCTTCCCAGTGTATGATACAGTGATAGAGCATAAAATTTGGAAATGATTTATCTTTCTCACAAAGATCAATAAATTCATTACCAGCCATGGCTGATGTTTCACTAGTGGCTATCATCTTATCATCAACAGCTTGTGCAGAGGCAAATCAATTGACTTCGCATATGGTGTAGATATCCTTACTTCATCATTTCATGGGTAATATTTTCAGTAATTCTTTTACTGTAAAATTACTAAATATTTTACCATTGATACCATTCTCACTATTACCTATCTGGTATATCTGTAGACTTGTCAAATTGTAGTGAAAACTAGTCACATATTTCCAAGCTATATATATATATATATATATATGCATGTCTTCTGTATGCTAACACAATCTCATGTTCGTTAGAAAAATCCTCAAGCTATCATAGTCAGTTAAAAATACATTTAAAAAAAAAATTCACTATTCTGAAAAGACATTCTTCTTTGCAAAAATGTGAGAAATTTTGAAAGAAGCAGCAGTAATACTTTTACATTTTAAAAGTAATCAATAAAAAAGGATTATTAGGTAACTATTGATTTTAGCCAATTTAATTTCTCTTTCTTCAGATTTAACTGAATAGGTCATATTAAAAGTGGCATGAGCTGTCTGAAAGTTATGTTCAATGTTATGTTTTTTCCCATGCTACTATGCTACTGCCACACAAAAAACAAATACATTTATTTTTAAAACTGATGAAACACAACACGATGCCTTCCTAGTCGGTATTAAAATTACAGGTTCTTTGTCTTTTCCTCGAGTCACTCCTTTTGGATTGAAATAAAGTATATAAAAACAATGAAGAAGAAGACATCAGGAAGGAGTAGTAGTAGTAGTAGGGATATATACATTAAAAATGTGAGTACGTAACTAGCAATAAATATAACATGGAATTTAAAGAAACACCCATTAAATGAGGATTCCCTTTCATATGAGACACCCAGTGAAGAATAAATAATTACATTTTGCATATGACCCCATCCACAAACAATGCATTAGGATAGGGAAGCATTAAAAATATTTTAAATGAGTGTATATTTGACATTTTAAAATTTTTAACAAATAACCGGACCAATACCTTCAAACTGGAGTAGTCTTCGCCACATCGGAACTTGTGGTAATCCCATTTACGATAATTTAAGCATATAAATATATAATTTTTTAAACAAATATCCTTGTACTTCTCTAATTAATTATTAACTAAAATTTATTATTTTTATAAAACATTTTACTGGAAACTTAAATTATTTTTATCGCGATTGTACAGCAGTGGGCATACGTAAAACTGTCAGTAGGTGTAATGATACCTGGGGACATAGAGTTAGGGACCCCTGTACTATGTGATCTCAAAGGGGAAGAGGACAAATCTTTACCAAAATGTAATTCATCATGAAATGTAATTAGTCTAAACACAATGAAACAAGTTTGATGTTATATCAGCTGAAGAAATTGTACTGCTTATATTAAATAGGTACAAAACAAAATATAAGTAGCCAATGATTATTTGAACTATTGACCAAAGTATATTGAAAAAGGCACTGAACACCGGGAACCTTTTAAAAAAAGAGAGAGAGACATACGTTATCTAAAGTTTTAAAATAAGTAATTCATACTTAATGACTATTAACAACATTAACTTATTTCGAGCTAATTAACAACAAATATTTTACTTTTACATATTTGCAATCATTTACAAATAGCATACATATTATTGTATTACTTTCTATCTACTGTATGTATTGCAGCTGATGCAATGTATTAACAAAATGTTCAAGATGAAAATTTTTATAACACATCACAAATTGAAACAGATGTACTAATCATGTTGAAAAACCTTTGCCATTTTAAGTGCCTTTGCAAAAATAAGCTCTAAATCTTATATCTAGATATAGACAATAAAAAGCTTTCAGACTTAATGTAATGTATATTACACATTACATTGAAGGTATTATTTTACCATAATTTATAAAGATGAAAGAAAAAAATTATGCACATTGAAATGTAGTATATAAAAAATATTACTTCTGCTGATAGCTAATATTTCTGGAAGACAAGAAAAAATTTCTATGCCTATATCAGATAATTTTTTTATTACCTATACCAGATAAACTTTAAGCTCATCTAAAGACATATTTAACAATATCTGGATAAAAAATCTAAAACATAGCTCAATGCAAGTTAGTTTAAACACATTTCATAATAGCTAAAAAACTACAGCAAAAAAATTATCAAATAAATAACTGAAATGATTTACTCATAAAATAATTACTAAAACAGCACAAGCATAAAATACTAACAACTTTCAGTTTCAATCTTCTTAAACTATTTTCATTATATTTAAGATGATCAGCAAGCTCCTTTTGAAGTTGAGCAATCTTTTCAAGCTCCAGTTCCTCAGTAGTTTTCGTTCTTTTAGCTTTTGATTTGCATATAGTCCGCCTGAAAAATAATTATAATACATATATGCATCAATAGCATATAATAAAACAAAATACATATATAAGCATCAATTTCTAATAAAAATATAATCATCAATAATGTAATAAAATTAAGTATTAATTTTAAAATGGATAAATATAAAAAGGAATAATATTAAATTCTAAGCCCTTTTACGGGCATAAAATTCCATATAGAAGGATGGTTTTCCAATTCATAATATAAGAATTTTTTTGCCAGATTTTAATGCACCCGATTTCAGGTTGGATGTATATTGGAAGAAAATCAGTCAAGGTACAAAGGGTCATTTTTAAATTATAATCAAGAAAATACTATTTATTCATGACATTTTAGGAAACTTTTAAATTTCTGGAGAAAACCATAATGCTCAGAGGGATAAGAAGATAATTACAAGCTTCTCATTCAACATGTAAAATACATGAAAATTTTTTTTTCCTGATTAATAAAATTTATGGTTGGATACAAAACATGAATAATTACATTAATTTCAATACGGCTATAATCTGCGAAGATTTTCATATTAACACCCAATCATTTTGATTATGTAGAAATATACATTTAAAAAATTTCCAAGAATCATTCAAAAAATTTTACATGACAGATTTATTTATTTACTTATTTAAGAAGAAACCATTTGCTTGTCTTCTTTAAAATTGATAGTTTTTCCAGAAAATGAAAGTCAGTTTTTGCCTAGTTTCACTAAAAAATGAATCATAATAAAATCTGGTACTCTCCTATTATCGGGAATGGATTCAGAGATGTATCTATACAGTGGTGGCCAAAATTGTGGAAACTTTTGGAAATTTTTATGTTTTTGAACTTTGTATGCTTATAGAAAATGTTAAGTTTTGCAAAATGCAAACTTGTATATATTATCTTAAAGCGAATTTATTACTGAATTCAATTCAATTATTTTGATGAAAAAATTCACATTTGATGACACAATAACACAAAATTCAATTATTTGCAATACAAAAAAGTTATATGTACTTTAATATAAATAAAAAACACAGTTATGAAGTGGTTTGTAATGTCTAGCTTTCCTGGCCAATCACTGTTCTTATTCTGAGAACCAATCAAATGTTAGTAACTGCCAGTAGAAGCTGACATCATGTTTACACTTGAAACAATTCATTATTTTACTTTGTTCTGTAGAAGGAGAACCTGTTTCTTATACATTGCAATTACAAGTAGAAATTTTTGTAAAAATTTTTCAATATTAGTCAAGACAGTCATGATCAGAAAAAAGAGTATTGGACCAAATAGAGTAATACATAGAAGACATGTAGTGGTTTTACGGAAAGTGGCTTTCCTATGCTGAAATTGCGGACGGTGGGTGTCAGTGACTACAGCCGGAGTCCGAAAGTTTTGTTTACATATCGGAGACAAATTCAATAAAAACAAGAAGGAAAAGGCCGAAAAGGTGCACCACATCATTGATGACGAAGAATGAAAAGATATGTCTCCAAGATAGAAAAATTCATCAGCGAAAAGTGATCTGATGATGCCTGGTGTTTCTGTCTTCGGTCCCAGGAGAAGTTAACAGATGTTGGACTAAGGTTAAATTTCCGAAAAAAAAGCCTATTTATTTTCAGCAACGAAAAGAAAAAGACTACATGGGCCAGGAACACCTTAATTGGACAGATGATCAGTGGTCACAGTGTATATATGATGAAAGAAGATTTGTTATTCGTAGTGATGGCGAAATATGTAGACTTAGAATGATAAGGCTACTTCTTACGCATTCACGCAACGTGAGAACCCGTTAGTGTTATGAGTGGTATGCATGCCAGCAGATTCTATTGGTCGCCTTCATTCCCATCAATGGGACACTGATCCAGAAAATCATTGACACTATTCTAGAACAAAACTTGTACTTCCATCAAAGGTCTTTTCCCACAATGTTCGTTTTATTTTCGCGGGATTTTCTTCTTGCCACACGGCCAATATCGCAAGAGTGGTTTCGTACAAGAGCAATTAAATTATTGTCATGCCAAAACCAGTCTGACCTAATCCTACCGAAAATTTCTGGAACGTTGAAACTCTTGTCCGAATGAGCGCCCATCAAACAAAGGGAACTAATTGAGGCTTAAAGTGTTTTCTGGCATCATGCAAATAACAAAGAAGAGTTACCCTTTGCGACATGCCTATTAAATATATTTATCTTACAAAAAATGCCTTAAATAAGTCGATAACTTAAGTGCTTTTAATGCGTTTAAATTCTTGCTCTTTTAGTTTTTGTACGGAGAAGTGGAAAGCGCTTGTCCCACCATGCAACTAGCACGTCTTATAGAATATTGGTGTATAGCAGGGAAAAAAATCATGTGGAATGAATAAACAACATAAAGCGTGCATTCTAAAATATCATAATACACAAAATGCTATTTTTACTTATGCATATATGCAGACTTGTAAAATTTGCATATATATATTAATATTTTAATTTTAGGAACAAAAGAAAATATGTTCTTGAATATTATTTAGATTAAAATTTGATACACGTACATATGATCTAAATAAAATATTAAATTGGACTTAATTCAAAAACATTTATATATGATTAAAAATGAAAAAAGTCATTTTTCATAAAACTTTGAAAAAATGTTGTTTCATTCTTTTGTAAGTATGGAGGCACTTCACATGTTTCACACATCCAAAATGTTCGGCGTTCTTCTTTCGATGTGCTGCAATATGCACATTTTCTGCTGCTCCTTCTCTCTGGTGTGTAACTTACATTTTTTAGTCTTTTCTGGTTGTACGAATGGTTTTTTAGTTTTTATTTGAACTGGGGATTTCAGTTCATTTTTCAGCTCTTTCTTGCCTGCAAATGCCATTAGACCTTCTATAACTGAGAGACTAAAATCTTTCATTGTTTTTACAACATGATCGGGTTCGCGAACAAACTTAAATAGAATAAATGTGTTTACTATACTCGCATGTAAAAAGGAAAAAAATATCCTGTGCCATCATTTCTTGCTTTTGCGGCCTATTTCATATAATCCTTTCAGTTGATCAAATAAGTCGACATATTCCATATTCTTATATGAAATAATGCTGTTTGGGCACAGTACTTTTTTTGTTGTTGTTGTTGTTATTGTTTTTCCATCTCGTTCTTTTCTATTAATTTCTTTTGCCGTTGCTTTCACGCCCGACCGGATAGCCGGATTTTTATCTGTTTTTGCAGTGGGTGGGTGTCGATTTCACTGAACAGTTATATATTCTTGGGAAATTTGTGGGCCGGAGAACTTCCGGTTACTTTTGGGTCCTCATGTTAGAGGTGTTGTGTCTTTTGTCAAGTGTGCAAACCATTTTGTGTGTTGTGTTTTCTCTTGGGGTGTAACTTCAGATAGTTTTCCTTTGATTTCAATTTGGTCTGAATCAGAACATGACACTGGTTGAGTCGCAATCGGATGGTTTTTAACAAAGATTTTTTCTGAGTGAATTTTTTTATAGACATTTTTGCACATCAGGGCATAAAGGAGTAAAAAAGCCGCGCGCGGCCCCGCAATCACGAAAAAAGGTAGATGCAAAAAAGAAAAGAAAAAATAATCGTAAGTGCTGCCATTTATTGTGCGGAAATTCAAGTGTGTGATGGGAAGAATTTTAACCCACTTATTTCAACCGGAAAATTAATCTTAAAAAATATTGAATCCAATTAAGATTTTTGAAAATAAAATACCTTTGATAATTAAAAAGAATATAAATATCATAAATTGTATACCAAAATTTCAAAATATTGAAAAATGCGAGAGATACATGGATATCACACTTGTGATCCTATTTTAAATATTTTTTGCTTTAAACTTAAGCCCTGGTATAATAATGACATCTACTGAGAAAATAATAAATAAAATAGATTATTTTTAAAAGATTAGAAAATTTCTAAGGAAATGCTAACTGAGAAAAAAATATTAATTAGGTAGGACATATGACCCCCCCCACCCATGGGTTAAAACCTAGTCAGCTCAATGGAACATCGATGTCGATGTGAAGCTGTAATCAAAAATAAAGGGTACCCTACTAAGTACTGATAAAAATTGCAATCATCACTATCTAATGTATATCGATACTATTAGGTTTAACTTTTTTGTATTGCAAATAATTGAATTTTGGTTTTGTATCGAATTCAGTAATAAATTCTCTTTAAAATGATATATACAAGTTTGCATTTTGTGAAACGTGACGTTTTCTATAAGCATACAAAGTTAAAAAACATAAAAGTTTCCACAATTTTGGCCACCACTGTATATGGATTTATGTGTTAAAAAAATGTATGCATGTAAAACGTACATACATATATATATACATATACACTTATACACACATGCATACATACACATATCTCTTAATCCAGTACTGATAACAGAAGAGTATCTAAAATTTTTGTAATATGGAGCATTATAGTCATGTTCATAACAGAAAAATTATTGTCTTATTTACTAAATACAAAAATATATAAGAACTACAAGAAATCAGGTTTTATAGTAAAATCCAGTAAATTGTGAACCATTCCCATACAGCTAATCAAGAGTTGTACAGTATTTCAAGTAGTTAATTTCAACACTTGAGTTCACTGTAATATAAAAAAAACTCAGATGATAATTTCTTTGTAGCCTCCCCCCCCCAAGGAATCTGGTTTCTGCAAATCCAAAATAAACTCAAAAGATATACAGTCAAAAGTCGTTAATTCGGACACCCATAATCTGGAATGATCTATAATCCGCACCTCAAAGCCACAAACTTTCTGCGCATGCGTTGCGATGACACATGTGCATAGGCGTTTATACGTGCGCGCAAGACCTTTACGGCTGCGAATATGCGTGTGCGCATGCGAATAATACCTTTTAGCATGCGCGTTTAATGTATAATGGACGGTATAAGCTAAGCTAAAATTATCTAATTCAGTTAATGTTGCAGATTGCGTTGTTCCTTAATCTTTGAATTGGATCTGGCTTATTATTTTTTGCAGACTGTTAGAGCACTTTTATAAAAGCATGCTTGAACTTTTGATTATGTCAAATAGAATTTCCGATATATATTTACTAATATGTAAAGGATCTACAAAGCAAAAGTATGTTTCCATTAAACAAAAAGTATAATTGCTGCAAAAATGAATAAAGGCATATCCTTTGTTCCCTAACCTTCCGAAATTGTTTTCAATTTCCGCTGCTTGGGGGGGCGAACGGTGACAATGAATTGGAATTGATCTGTCAGCTCTATCCTTATCTTCAGGCAGATGTTTTATTTTATATTGGCTTATAATTCCTTCCTAAATGTGTATTTCATCTCAATGTACTCCATCTTTGATATGATTAAATCAATTCCTCGATATTATGATTCGCTTTTGATAGTGAAGAAGTGACCAGAGGTATTGAAAATGAAAAATTTCGATTGACAAATCATTGGTATTCTCGACACAGCCATAGGACTTGTACAGCAGAACTTTGTAACTGAACAGAAATTATGTGTTTATAGAATTAAAGAGAAAGTATTATAGTTCTTTATTCATAAATTACGGTTTCATATTTTTAATTTTATTATTTCTGCATGCCATCTTACCAAATTTAAACTGATGATCTATAATCCGGAATCGCCGAAGTCCCGACGAGTCCGGATTAACGACTTTTGACTGTATACAAATTTTTCCTGGATATAAAGTTCTTACCTATACATGAATTTTATTTTAAGAATTCAGTTAATTAGCAAATAAAATCAATCATAATAACCAAAGCATGCATATAATACTTATTACAGGCTATATATAACTGCTCACCCACTGAATCTTACACCTTTAACAAATTACTGGAACTGTGATAATTTATATGCTTAAGAGGCTGCTCCTTTTATAGTGAGTTAGTTCTAGCAAAAGTAGCAGACTTGGATTAATTTAATGTAGATCATCACAAAAATTTGAAAGCTCTTGATATTCTTTTATGTTGCCTGTAACAAACGTTCTTCTGCTTTTCAAAATTCTCATTTAAAAAATTCCCATTCTCTGAGTCTTGAACATTTTCTAAACATCCTTCTGTTGTACTAACAAAAGTAGATATATGCAAGGTTATTACCATAGCTCAGTATGAAACTTACTTTATGTATTATAACATTTTATAATACATCAAATGAGTATGCGCATTTTGGATTTTATCTGCTTTTCTTACAGTCCATTGCTATTTCCGAGACCTCAAATCATTCATTGCTGATGGAAGTGCTGTCTGCTACAGCTTGCAGGTTGTTGCTATTGTCATCGTTATCACCGTCTCCTTTCAATTTGTCCTACCACAGCAATAATCTTCAAAAACATAAGCATTAGATATTCTTAATTTCTTGAAACTCTTCACTATTACCTCATCATCGATCATAGCTCATGCGCCAAAATACATGAGCAAATCAATAAGACAAAACAATCAAGACACGAATGAATCAGTGTTGAAACCTAGGGAAGCTCGCTTTCTGAAAGCCCTGAGGAAAATATGTAAATATTTGGAAAATTTTCAGGGTAAGCAGAAAAATATGCGAATAAATATGGCAGTTATAAATTTTTTTTAAAATTTTATGCAGATGTGCTACAATATTTCATCTGAATTTTCCTTATAGCATTTGGCACCATATGCAGTTGGCCCATGTGTGAACGCTAAAACCCAAGATTACTATCAATGGCAATAAAATAGGGAGGTACATAGCTAGATCTTACAGCAGTCCTTAAGAAAGAGATGAGGGCACTAAAATATTTTTTGAATGCATAAGAAAATGGCAGAAGAAAGAAGGTTAAAACAATAACAAATTTGAGTGCTATCATTTAAAAAATAAATAAATAAAAGTGGTAGATCATATACTACATGATTGTGATTGCCTGTTACTCTGATGCAAAATACAATAAACTTACAAATTACTTTTACTACAACTCATTATTTGTAATAACAACAGTTTTTCTGACATAATATCTTGACTTATAACCAGGACATTAACTTAAAACTCAGTACTTGTTGGCAAAATTATTTTAGTATGAAAATACAACTAGCATGCTTAAAAAACAATTCGTAGTTTCAACTGAATACATTTAAAATTTTAGCATTATTTTCCAAATCTAAAAGTATCTGATCAGTTTAGTGAGATACTATATTTGCATTAAGTCTATAGTCGATAACAATATAGTCTTTCTTACCTTACTATGCAGTAAAGAAAGTCTACCGAGTTACCATTACTATATTATACAATTCTCATTTTATACTTTTTTTGAATTTTTGAATAATTTTAAATGATACTTATGAACTTCTTTTGAATGTTTGTTATACACAAACATATTACAAAATTACATAATGAAATTCACATTATTAGTCAGAATACCAAATAAAAATACACATACTTCAAGCACATTGGTGTCATAGGAAAAGTCTTTTTATTTTTCCATTTTGAATCAACTCCTGATATACTTCTTTTCCGGCAGGTGTTAGTGGATATATCTTGCACACTTCGAGCAGCAGGTGGTTTTACTTGGTTACAATTTCTGTTTATGGAACTATCACTTTTGGAAAGACGATTTAGTAAACGAGACTTTAAATTATAACTTTCTTCATGGGCTTTAGAAATGATGTTATTGGGTCCCCTTAAACTGGAAAAATTACTGCCAATTTTTACTGTTTTTGGTTTAGATTCTTCTTTGTGAGCATCTGGTGTTCTAGAAAAAATTCACATATATTACACAAGATTCTCAAAATACATTAAATAAAATTTGAATATTTTAAATAGTTAATATCTAAAACTGAATTAAGAAAAACAACAGATGGATATGAACAGAATTTTTTCTTAATTTACAGGTACAAATACAAAGGGCGTTAATATCACATTTTTAAGAGATCAAGTCACTGCAAAAGCTTCAGTGCATTACTATCACAGGGGTCGAAAAACTATGCTTATTTTTAATCTGGCCCAGGGGAAGATTTTTTAAAAATAAAATATAAATCAAATTACGAGCTATTACGCAACCAACAATAGTTGAGTTGAAAACTTGTGAATTACGACCATAAATAGTGCTACTATCATATTCTCTCATTTGTCATTTTTAAAGGCATTCCTAACAAAACAAATATTTGTACATTGTGCGCCATGCAAGTACGTTGACAATTTTGCTATAGCAGTGAGCGGGGCATTGTCTGTCCAGATATTCTGCAACATTTTATACATTTTATTCATTACCTAACATTACCATGTCCCTCTCAAAATAAAATAAGAAGAGAAAAGTACACCTCGGCTGTCATTATTTTAAAGCAGAACAGAGTGCTAATTATTTTGTCATAGAATTAAATGACAAAGTTTTATGTTTAACATGCCATGACATAATAGCTGTTGGAAAACTGGAAAACTTAAAACATCATCACAATGCAATTTATTCATAAAAATAAAACAATAACAAATTAGTGTCTAAAGTCAGTTTATGATAAGTTCATTTATTAGCCACAAAAGGAAAATTCACCAATGCTGAATGAATTAAATCACAGCTCCATAAATGTGCTCAGAAAAAATAGATATGCTTCAATCTGTCAGTCTTTCAGTGAGAACAAGTATTAGAAGACTTGAGAACATCGTGAGCCACATCAAAAGTCGAATAATAGTGTAAGGATTTATTTTATTCTAACGAATTATTTTTAGTTTTCCTTTCCCTCCTGATTTCAGTTTCCTGCCGGAATGCAAATTTGTTATGACGTAGATGTAAATATAAATGTGTTTCAAAATCAGTACTTAAGCTGCATTTCAAGAGTTTGAATAGCAGTAGTAGTAGTGGACTAGTTCCGAGTTTATGCTACATGTTTGAATTTAGCTCTGTAGCTGCTGTTACACACTTTTCAGGTTACACTGATATTCCTTGGCTCAGCTTTGCTGTGTGCAGATGACTTAGTGTTAGTTAAGTTAAGGAGCCAGTCATTAGATATTTTAATTTACTAGTGATTTGTTGCATTCTTATTTTCTGTTAATTTACATAGCCACAAGTGGTGGTGATTTGTGAGCACAAAGAGCATGCATCTGTTTTAATTTAGTTTAAATAAAAAGGTTATTTAAAGCTTTCTTCTGCAGTATTTATTCTTCAAGACATAGTGAGAATTCGCTATTTCATTTTTGATATAGAGTTCAAGTTGTATGCTACCAAAAAGAACACAAAAACTCTACAATAGACAAGGCCAAAAAATTCAAATGGTTTTCGTTGGCTATATATATAATCATAACTATAAAGATAATTTTTTATCGACAAAAGAAAATGGCAAACATGACTGAGAGGGAAAAAATTCAATGAAATACCATATCAATAAGTGAAAGAGAACTCTACTACAGTTTTCATTAAATTTTTGGAGAAAAGTATCTAATTTGCATTTTATTGCAGATACAATACAATATTCAGTTTTAAATAAGTTAAACCATTATTAATAAATTTCCTTTAACAGTTCTATGGGAGCATTATGATTCATTTCTTCTAGTTTCTTTCAGAAGAAATTCAACCCTGTAATTAACACATGCATAACTTTTTATTAACTTTTTTCTGCACATAAAGCCAACTAATTCCTTCTATTAATTTATAAAACTAGGCATAGTAGCATTAACAAATGTTAAATTATATTCAGATTTTCTTTTTATTGTAAAACTCCTCTAAATACAAAAATACTTCTGAAATATGCGAGAAGTTGTGATTGATGAGTCGATCATGGTTCATTAGTGTGAATTACCCCGATTAGGAGTACCACCCATTAGTTGAGTATAACTTTTATTGTAGTTGAGTATAGCTTTTATTTGTAGGTTTACTTATTTACTTTTTTTGTTCAGTCAGCAAAGCAGTTGCCTAAACGAAAGAATGCATTTCATTTTTTAAAGTTTAAGGTTAATTTTAAGCACATATTTTTGTTAAAGTACAAGAATATAAGCAAACAAAATTTAATTTATTCTGTTTCCATCATTAGCAACATAGGCTAATTAAAGCAGTAATTATTTGCATTATTTTATCATGAATTAGAATATACATTTTAACATATTAAAATTTAATAAATTAGTCAAGTATTACTAATTAATAAATAAAACATTTTAAAATACTTTTGTTAGTTTCAGCAAGTTTTAACTAATTTCTGCCACCAGCATGGCAAAACTATTTACTGCTAGCAGAAAGCTACTATGATTTGAAACTATTTATAATACTAGATATACTTAAAATCATACTAAAAATGGATATAAATAATTTCCAGGATTATACTTTCTACTACTAATTATGAACATTAGGCAATAATAATGTTTAAAATGATAAACTTGAGATATCATAAAATGATTTGATTAATATTATTTTAGGAATGTTGACAGTTGTTGCATTAAAAATAATGTCTTAAAAGGCAAAACTTAAATATTTTTAAAAACAAAGATAATATATAATTACCTCAGTTTTGAAGAAGCTGCATTAAGATCTAAAAGAAAAGTGGAAAAAATGGATGAAAGCTCATGATAAAAAATGTTCAGAAATTAGTTGCATTTCTTTTTTTTTTTTTTTACTATAATATTAAAATGCAATTTAAGCTTTTCAAATACAGAAAGAGCTTAAAAACTACAAGAGATCCAAAGTTATAATTTATACATTATTTACAGAAAACATTTGAAATAATGCTAATCAAACTTTGGTTATGAAAAGGTAATTTTTGTGCAAGGTGTGGCTATTAATTTCCAGGACTGCTCTAATAACACCAGAACAGATTATGTGAAAAACGTAACCTTTTAATATGCTTTGAAGTAATCCCCATCTGCCATAATACAATTCTGTGCTCGGCTGAATAAGTTGTGGAAACGACTTTTAAAGTTCTCTTTCGGAAAGCTCATCAATGTTGATGTCACGTTGCATGACGATGCCCGCCCCTCCTGTTGCGTTCCCAGTGAGGAGGTTTTTGTGTTTGAGGTCATGGAGCTGCATCATCTGCCATACTCGGCTGACTTGACTTTTTTTGTTTCCCAAACTAAAAACCGTGATCAAAGGAACATGCTTTGTGGATGTTGAAGACATCAAGAAGAACATGACGTCGACATTGAAGAGCCTTCCGAAAGAGGACTTTAAAAGTTGTTTCCACAACTTATACAGCAGAGCACAGAAGTGTATTATGGCAGATGGGGATTACTTCGAAACATATTAAAAGGTTATGTTTTTCACATAATATGTTCTGGTGAAACCAGTCCTGGAAATTAATAGTTACACCTTGTATATAAATTATACAAAATTTATATATTACTATTTTTAAATAATTTGCTTAATTTTTGTACCATAAAGGTTCTTTCTTATCTTCTTCTGCTTTGCCATCGGTTGGTGTTATAAGACCATCCTATTTTTCATCTGTTATTTTACGATCGTCATTCTCAACTAAATTTTTAATTTCTTCTTCCCACCACCAGTTTCTTTTATAATTTGTATAATTTCCTTCGCTTCATTTTCAAACAATGAAAATCCTTTAAAACTGTTGATAATTTCTTGCCAGCAGGCGGTGATGAGTTTCATAGAATGTCAAGTTGTTGGAATTAAACATGTACTGTATCTACGGTACTGAATAACTCTGTAATAAACCTGAACCTTTTATTTGTCTTCACAGCAAGCATAATTTTAAATGTTCTTTAAGAATTACAAAATTTGATATAATATTAGAAAAAATATTGCCGTTTAAGCAATGGATTCCATTTAGGCATTTACTGATTCATCAATGACAAAATTTATAATATAATGATAATTTTTCTTTTTAGAAATTTGTATCTTCATACGACTTGAAAAACAAATGAATAGATGATACACTACACCAGCCTCCACACCATGCCATATAATTTGTCACTGCACCATATGCCACGGTGCTGAACAGTAGATATATGAGGATTAGATTATGCTTGTGCAGCAACAAGTTGCTAAAGTGGCATATCATACCTTTTGTTAATTAAAGAAGCATGAATTTATGCACCATGTAATAGCATAATTGTGTGTAATCTGCAATGCCTAGAAATTATCACTGTGAATAATGAATGTAGTAGTCTAACAAAGCACGAGCTTGTGCACCATGTAATCATTAGTAATTTAACAGCATGTAACCTGCAACGCTTGAATCAGTTAACATGTGTCTGTTGGCTTTTTTTTAATTGTCAGGATGACATTAATCTGTAAGGCGAGATGACATACGGCCTTAAGGCCGTATGTCATCTCGATGACGCAAAGTAACAATAAGTTGTGTTAAAATACCATAACTATTAAAGAAGCACGAACTTGATTGTAGCTATAAAGTATCATTTAAGTTTCTAACAAATTTTATGTTAATTTATTTTTCTATCAACCTCATTTATATTTAGTTCCCTGTCAGAATGTAAATTTTCAGTGCCCACAATATTCAAAATTAGGTAGAAAGAAAGAAGTCTTTAAAGGAAGGTTTTGGAGATTGAAATCAGAGTGTGTTCTGCCTGATTGAAAGCCACATTGCTAACTTTTATTCTCTAGCAAATAGTATTCTGCAGCATTAAGTTAGTCTTGCTCTTAGGCTTATTTACATAGACTTAGGTCAGAACCAGTTTGCATGCTAGTCAAAATGTGAAGCCATTCGGCTATACTTAAATTTCATTAATTTTAGTTCATCCATTATCTTCGATTTAAATCCAAAGCTAGTGGCTTCTGTAACCACGAGTGGGTGCCATCTGTTAAATTTTATTTGGATTAATAAGACTCAATGAAAATTGACAAGTTGTCTTTTAGAGTTTTGGTCTAATGGTATGTTTTCTAAGAAGGCCAGATCCCCCAAATCTGATATTTCGAAATTTTTTATATACAGTCAAAAGTCGTTAATCCGGACTCGTCGGGACTTCGGTGATTCCGGATTATCGATTTTTCCGGATTATAGATCATCAGTTTAAATCTGGTAAAATGGCATGCAGAAATTATAAAATTAAAAATATGAAACCGTAATTTATGAAATAAAGAACAATTATGATCTAAAGGGTATCAAAATTTACAAAAAAAAAAAAAAAAAAAAAAAAAAAAAAAAAAAAGCTTAATATTTATTTGTTTACTTTATTAAACATTTCTTTCAATGTAAGTTGTTTAAGTTGCTTCGTTTTTTATGTGATAATACATTCTCTTTAATTCTATAAACAGACATAATTTCTTGTTCAGTTACAAAGTTCCGCTGTTCAAGTCCTATAATTGCTGTGTCGAGAATACCGACTAATTTGTCAATCGAAATTTTTTCGTTTTCAATAACCTCTGTCACTTTCTTCGCTATCGGAAGCGAATTATAATGACGAGGAATTTGATTTAAATCATATCAAAGACAGAGTACATCGAGATGAAATACTACATTTAGTAAGCAATTATAAGCCAAATAAAATAAAAACATCTGCCTGAAGATAAGGATAGTGCTGACAGATCAACTTCCAATTCATTGCGCGCCCCGGCGTTAAAGATAAACAAAGTTTAGATAAACAAACGTTAAAGTTTAGATAAACAAAGGATATGCCTTTATCCATTTTTTGCAGCAATTCCACTTTTTGTTTAATGGACTCCGAAACATACTTTCGCTTTGTAGATCCTTTACATATTAGTAAATATATATCGGAAATTCTATTTGACATAATCGAAAGTTCAAGCTTACTTTTATAAAATTTCTCTCTGCAAAAAATAATAAGCCGGATCCAATTCGAAGATTAAGGAACAACGCAATCTGTAACATTAACTGAAATAGATAATTAGATAATTTTAACTTAGCTTATACCGTCCGTTATAGATTAAACGCGCATTCGTAAACGTATTTTGCGCACACGCAAATTCGCAGCTGTAAAGGTCTTACGCGCATGCGTCAACGCGCCGCATGCGTAGAAAGTTTGTAGCTCTGAAGTCCAGATTATGGGTATCCGAATTAACGACTTTTGACTGTAGTATGAATAAAAAGTGTTTTGATTGAACTAAATCTATTCTCTAAAATGTCATCTAGACAATAAAACCTTGAAAATATACCTATTCTTTCAAAATGTTTGCTAATGAAAGTCCTAATTAGTGAAAATCTACAGTTAAAATATAACACAAAAATAGTAAAAGATGTAAAAATGGATTTTGTCAAGAAGAAAAATTCCTTCAGTGTTACTGATGCTATTGGAAATAAATTTGGAGAATAAATATGTTTAAATATTAGCAAATGGAAAATAACGAAAATATCGAATTTATAAATATTAATGAAACAAAATTACATCAACAAAATATACACAGATTTCAGCCTTTAACAGAGTTTGTACACATTTCTGCACACGGAAAATGTACTTTTAAGGACCATTAATGAAATAATTAAGGACCTTTGAGCAAATGGGAACTGAATAAGTTTGATTAAAATTATTATCTAAGCCTGAATTTCACTTTTGTAATACCATCCTAAAAATAAAATAGATTGCTAAGTAGTATGCATTATTACTAAACATGAATTAATTAACATAAGTATTAACAAGTTTGAGAATAAAATAAACTTTATGCAATTTATCAAGTAGCATTAAATATTTTACACTTATAATAATTGGACATATTTGAAAGAAAATAAGTGGCATTTACATTTTACTAACAGTTAGCTTTATGTTGATTTTTTTTTTTTTTTTTTTTTAGTCCAAAGGGGCTTTGTCCCTGAAGGACTATTGTTTTCGTTTTGCGATTTTGCGTCGGACTCATACGTCGGTTCACTTTTCAAACTGTTGCCACAAAATGTTAGAGTCTTGCATTATATTTGAAGAAATTAAATAATGAAAAATCTGCATAAATGATTGTCTATTTCTCGCATTGTGATAAAACAATGGTACATAGAGCCATCGAATTTTGAATGACGAAATCCTACAGCGAATATGGGCATCTGAAATCCCAAATTTGGAATTTGTTTTATTATAGATTTTATATTTTGTAAAACTTTAACGAATTTTTGATTTACAAACTCAATGCTTTAAAAGCGAGAAATCGCAACGTTACGTAGAAAAAAAATACTTTTATCTCCAGCTTGCGAGACTGTGTATATCGGAAATTCTAAAGATATGCTTAATTTAACATTATTTTGCGATATTGCTCTTGAACTGAATTTTATGGTTTAAGTGCAAAGAACATGATATTTAATAAATAAAGGTAACACTCAAAACGTTAAAAAAACGTCCCTTTGGACATAATTTAAAATCTGAAACATTTCAGATTTTTTTTTTTTTTTGTCTCATATTGTCACTTACTTGGTCAGTATAGAGGTTAAGTAAATAGTAAGTAGAGTTTATGCCAAGAGAGTAAGATCATAAAATGAGAAGTAAAATCATAATCAGCGTGATTTAAAAGAAAAGACTGGCTGTTGTCATCGCTCCTGCTTGCCTAGAGAGAGACTTGCTGATCAGAAGAAATCTGAAAGGCCTGATATAAACATGGTTGGCAAGTTTTGAAAGTTAGCTGGACTCTGTCTGATGAGTTAGTGTCATAGCTTCATATAGAGATCCAGGGGTTGTAACTCAGTTAATATACTTTAAGGTTCTAACAATCCACTAAAGCACCAGAGGTGATAAGTTGTTTTGTATTATTTTGAGTCTCACAGATGCAAAGAATAAGTTTTACTTCAATTTTTACATTTTTGTGTTTTATCTTGTGACCACAGTGAGTATTAATGAAAGGCAATAACTCGCTTTAAAATGTAGAGATAATTTTTAAGGGTAAACAGTTAGTTATAAATAATTAAATTAGGCAATTAGATAACCTTAGCCATTATGGATTTACATGGCCACTATTATGCCCTATTAATATCAAAATCTAATAAAATTTCACAGTTTAAAATAAATGTAATTTATGACATTGATTCTTAAACGATATTAGGATGATTACACATTAAAAGCTACAAAATATTTATGTTTTGTAACAACACTCAACAAAAATATTTTTCCGTCATTTTAATTTGAAGCGCTCCCAAACATTTTGACTAGTTTATATTGATTTTCTTGTCTTTAAGCATCTCGTCTAAGAATTAGAGATTTGTCTCAATGTGCAAACCAATGCTATCGCTAGTTTCTGCATGCTTTATCTCCTAACTTGTCAGCCTCTCCACAATGTACCTATGAGGGTTTACTTGATCTGGTAAAAGTTAAATACAGTCAAAAGTCTTTAATCCGGAATGATCTATAATCCGGACCTCAAAGCTACAAACTTTTTGCGCATGCACGTAATATATTTACGAATGCATGTTTAATATATAAACAATGGTATAAGCTAAGCTAAATCTAATTATCCATTTCAGTCACGTTATTTCAGATTGTGTTGTTCCTTAATCTTCAAATTGGATCCAGCTTATTATTTTTTGCAGACAGTTAGAGCAATTTTATAAAAGTAAGCTTGAACTTTAGATTATGTCAAATAGAATTTCCGATTCTGGAGCTGCCAAAAGATCTACAAAGCGAAAGCATATTTCGATGTCCATTAAACAAAAAGTGGAATTGCTGCAAAAAATGGATAAAGGCATGAAGAAAGTGACAGAGAGGTGATTTGTTTCTCTAACCATTCCGAAATCTGTTTATGAATTT